CTTGCTTTCTCTGTTTGTGTGTTTGTCTTTCCAATCAAATCTTGCGATCGAAATTTCTGGCACTTCCCAGTTAGCTAGCGCGCTGAAATTTTCAGGGAAGCTTTCTTTTGGATGACCATTGAATATTCAATTGTTATTATTACTAAATTGATCAATGGAAACATTTTATTGAGCATTTTAGACCGCTATATAATCTATATATATATAATTCTCCTCTGCTAGCCATTAGAAAAAAAACCAGCGACGCGTACCTCGCGCGCAGTGAAGCGAACGATCACATGTCGCCACAGGCTTAGGGGCAGAGAATTTAGCTTGAACCGAGTTTAAACTTACAGGAGGTAGACCAGTTTGGGGGAGACGATATGGTCGAGTGGTTGGGCACACGATTGCTATCCCACTCGACACGGGTTCAAATCTATGTGTTCTAGTCAGTAACGTATTCAAACAACGTGTTTTTTACGAGTTGTCTTTTTATGAGTTGTCTTTTTACGAGTTGTCTTTTTACGAGTTGTCTTTTTACGAGTTGTCTTCGTTTACCCAAAAAAAGTGAAAAGATAAAATCGATAGCAAGATTTTAATGCAAACAAACAGACAAAGACTAAAAAGTAGAAAATAATAATCATTAAAAAAGTTTTAAAAAACCCACGTTTTCTGATTGAACTAAAAAGTAGAAAATAAATGCTATAGGCCCTACATCACAATAATGCAAGCGATCACTCTACTATAAGCGAGCAAAAACGTGGGGCGCCGTGATTTTCTTACAGTTTCTAATACTGTTGACTCTCTACAAGCTCCCTAATAAAAGTCAATAGTATTATCTAATCAATAGTAATATAACTTTTACTTCGGCGCCCCACGTTTTTCATCGCTTATAGTAGAGTGATCGCTTGCATTATTGTGATGTAGGGCCTATAGCATTTATTTTCTACTTTTTAGTTCAATCAGAAAACGTGGGTTTTTTAAAACTTTTTTAATGATTATTTTTTGTAAATGTACTAGTTAAGATGGCGGATATCCCACTCTACCATGCCTCGGTTAGCAAACATCATAGCGAGGCGAAGAATGAAGGGCGCGGTGCTCCAGCGAACCTCTTGGTAGTTTCTATAGAGTTTTATTTCACGTTTTGTATTGAGCTTAGGCTTGAGCCCGGGGGTTCTCACAATGGAGGGATATCGCCCTAGGAAACGCTAAAGTGGTTTAGGGGAAGGGGTTATTTTGGTAAATAGCTTCTAGAACGCAAGGATCAATAAAAGTCAAAATATTAGTAACACAATTGTCTATTAAAATAATTTTATGTATTTACTCATTTAAAAACCTGTTCAATTAAAAGAGAATGTTGTTTAGAATAGAAAAGATCAGGCTAATTTTATAAACATATGTATTTTGTTGGTGTTGAATCGCTGATTTTTTATAATGTTCAAGTTAGACAACGAGTTCCAGTAACTGTTTTAGTGCTCCGGTAAACTATGCTACAAAACAATCATTAATGTTTCAACACAAAAGTAGCATACACATGAATGTTTTACATAGGCTTACCGTTGTGTGTACATCTGCTGTATATGTCAATGTCCTAGGTGTAGAGTTACATCACTTGTTTCTTCAGCCAAGAGGTTATCACTAAGTGTCAAAACTTGTCTGTTTGTATAGGTTTATAAACTTATTTCATTGCTAGGTTTCTTAGGAAACAAAAACAATGTTCTACAGTTTAATTTGTTATGTTTGAAAAAAAAATCAAGACTAGCTAAACAATTAGGCTAACTTTTATTTCTGTTATTCTGGCGAAAATTTTGCACAAACAAAATTTAAGATAAGGAGAACTTTCCAACAGTGTTCGATATTAAAGTTATATAAAGAAAATAAAGATTCGAAAAGCAATATTTACACTTGAATGCTCTCCATTCCGTTTATAATCATTATAAGGGTATATTAGAATCGAATGTTCTGAGTACTTTTCATCTTATTTGAATTTGAAGAGATTTCCAAAAATTACCACAATCCGCCTAACAAAATAGATTTCTTTATCAATTTTGGATAAATATTCTCTGTTTTCTATAAGGGTTCAGGGCTAAAATTTTGGGAACCACTGTTTAATCCACCCTGCTGTGAGGAAACACGGTGGAAGGGAAGGGGAAGGGGGAGCTTTGTGACTATATTTATAACATATAAATATAAAGCGGTGCACATTTTCGAATCACTTTGACGGTACGGCTTTGGAGTGTTTGTTTCCTTTACGCCAAGTAACTAACATGTTGCTCCCAAAAGTAAGATTTTCATTGGTTAGTCGGCTGGACCACGTGACCTGCTGTAGTTGAGTAAATACAACCAGAACTCCCAGCGTCCTTTGAGACTGTGTAATTGTTGATTGCACAGCTAGAAAATACCTTATTGACGCTGGTGGAATGTACCATTTAGAAAACTAATAATATTTGAACAGCGAATGTGAATAGTAGAAGGTAAATGACATCACGACTATCGACTGTATTGAAATATGAATTGAACTTAAAGACTGAACAGTGTCTTTTAACGGTGTCTGATTATGCACACTCGAACATTGAATTCAAATTTGATTAAATTAAGTTTTAATACGCGGCTTGAATAGCAGGCGTGATCTCGAAATGTCAACTCCTTCAAGTGCAGCCAGCCGTGACGGCCAGGGTTATGTAAGAATATCCTGAACTATTGACTTGGTGGGGCGGAACCTTACCCACACCTCTCTTACCCCACCCTCCACATTGGGTTTTTCTCTTCTAAGCACTGGTTGGCGTAATCGAGATTGAAATGTGATTTCCCTACGAAAGAACCGTGTACGTGTTTTCTGTGGGGTAATCCAGTCTATCCACTACGATCTCATGACAAGGTAGAACTTAATCCAGCGGATACTGTGGATACATTGGATTAAGGCTGGGTTCATTCTGTGCTATATTTTTCCAGTGTTACTTAAGTGTGTGCTGGTTATATTCACATAGCCAGGAGTAGTTTGTATTAGAAGTGTTAATATTATTTTAGCATAATTTATAACTGGATTAACACACGGCTTCAGAAAGACGTCACGGGTAGCTTGCTCGTGTATTTATTCAAACAATCACCGCATGAATTAACATTTTATAGAAAATATTTCAATGACAGTGTACCGTGTGCATTTCTAGATAAATTGTATAAAACTTAATTACCGAATCTTACATATGAAAGAAAGCTAACCAGTAAAGAATACGTTTCCTTGTGATTTATTTGGAATAAGGTAAAAATATATATTTCATGCTTAACATTTGTAGTGCTGTTTGTGTATATTAAAAAAAATATTTATAATTTGGTTATGCTAGGCTTACAATGTAATAATATATTGTCAGCTGTTCTTTAATTTGAAAATTTTGAATTTGGATTAATTTGAGTCAATTTAAAATCATAACTGGTATTATGTATTCCTAAAATAGTTGTCAATTATAGTAAAATTCCACACTATAATAATGTGTGTGATTTGTCAATGGTGAACTTTTTAGATGTGGTGAAAACTAATGCTTAAAAAATAGTGTTAGATCGGTTTAGCTTTATTTGATGCACAAGTTAGGTGTTACTAAATCACTTTTAAAAAATTTAGCAGTTGAACCACGAAGAAGATTTAATGCTTCTTAGACTTATATACGTTTTACGAATCTAAATGTCACTTGTATGGCATTGAAGTTTCAATTAATAATAAGCTGACAAAAATTGTCTTAAGCTTTTAATGTGAAAATCGTGAAGATAGATACATCTATAGCTATATTAAGAAATTGCTATGTATGTATTTACATATTATGTGTTTGAGTTGATTTCGCATTAGCAAGCGTAGATCTTTCTATTTACAACTGATATAGTCATAAATATTAGCATTTCTAAAAGCATTGCCGAGATGGATGTAAAGATACGTAACAAACTCCGTGTGTTGCCTCGCCCCGATCGAGTGATACGTACAAATGGTAAACGTACAAAAGGTAAGCAGGGCTTCAACGCCCGGCTAGTTCAAATGGTAAACGTACAATGGTATGTGGAGCCTCAAAGACCGGCCTGTTCCCACGAAACAATCAAGCTCCGCGAAGCAAACAAGATAAGGGATTTGCTTGAGCTCGCCCAACACAAATACTTTGTTTACAATTGCAAAAAATGTGTAACTTCATATCTTAAAATCTTTCAACTTCAATTGTGTATTTGTTTAATGTAAATAAGACATTTTTAATAGTGTATTTACTTTGTTATTATAATGTAAATGATAACATTGTACACTGTTTACTTACATAACCAGATCTAGATTTTTCTATTTTGTATTTTGTTTTTGGAAATGCTAGCTGTGTAAATATATCTTTGGATCATTCTCAGCGGTTCCCTAAATCTTATCATTCTTATAGAAAATAATTTGTCTATATACGAATAAATTGGTAGGTGTGGTCGAATGGTAGAGCATACGACTGCTATCCCGAAAGTCTCGGGTTCGAATCCGGGTTCACGTTTTTAGATAACGCCACAGATTCTTCCCAGGCCTGATGTGTACCAGACTCACATACCGCAAGTAAAGGTGACCGGGTATAATGCTGGCCCCAATATCCCTTCGTACGCCAAGGTAACAGCAACAGGGGAACTCTACTTCACTTGTACTATGGGCCACTAGGTTCGAAAGGGAAATTTTTATATTAAAGTAACTAAACAGAAGACATGTTTATTGACATTAGACATGTGCAGGAGATTCCCAAATATTTTTATCATTCTCCGAAATTCATCTGGGATGTATAGAACCAGCCCTCCCCCCCCCCCCCGCCCCACACACACACAAACACACACTTCCTCAACCACCCACAACTTACTTTCACTTCAAATCTGCCTAGCCAGTCTAAGATGCTTAACATTCATCTCGTAATTTTCATTGCCATTTCAGTTCCCATGTATCCAGTAATGGCGCTGTATGATACTGCCCTCTTCAACACGTTACTCTGTATCTAGTTCAGTGGTAGCGACTTGTGGTTCCGAGTTCTAACCCAAGATGGAGTGCTGTCGTCGAATATTAAAAAGCTTTAACCGTAACGGTGAGAACAAGTACCGGAAAAGTCCGGCCGTTAAAGATGTCAACAACGCCAACAACGGTTCGGCGCTGATTCGGGCAGCCATGGGGGGTAAAGAGCAGCTGGTCAAAAGTCTTGTTCGGGGTGGAGTTGACGTCAACAGTACAAACAGGCACGGCCAGACGGCTCTTATGGCCGGTGTTATTTCTAAAAATCTGGACATTGTGGAGTTTTTAATTCAAAACGAGGCGAATATTAATCTAACAGATAAAGTAGGTCAAACTGGCCTGATGTACGCGGCGAAGAAAGGGTTAAAATCTATAGCTCAGCATCTGATAGAGAAGCACGCGGATTTAACGGTGCACGACAAACACGGAAGAGATGCACTCATGGTTGCCTCGGAGACCGCGCATGCGCATATCGTGGAGCTGCTTCTAAAAAAAGGAGCGGATGTCAATAGTAAAAGTGAAGGCGGGATGAACGCGTTGATGTTCGCAGCGACGAAAGGAAATATGAATGTGATCGAAGTTCTGATCAAGTACAATATCGATTACAATGCGATCAATGATAAAGGACAAAACGCGTTGATGATCGCTTCGTTTCAGGGACACAGTAAAGCCGCGGAGTATTTTTGTGCAATAGGGTTGGATGTGAATTCCGTCGACAAGGAAGGCTGGAGCTCTCTTATGTTCGCGGCGTACCAAAACAACGTCAACGTTATCAACACGCTGTGCAAACATTCAGCCAAGATGGACGCTATCAACCGCCATGATAGAGACTGTTTCATGATAGCCGCCGAGCGAGGTCATGTGAACGCTGTTCAGGCGTTGTTCCAGCTGGGATGTAGCGTGAATGCCGTAGACAAGGAAGGCTGGACCCCGCTCATGATTGCCTCCCGTGAGGGTCACACGTGCATCGTGGACTGGTTGTGTAAGAACGGGGCGACGGTCGACGCGGTGAATAACACCGGGCGGACGGCGTTGATGATTGCGTGTCGGCGCGGACACACGAAGGTGGTGGAGATTTTACTGGGTAGAGGATCGGACGTGAACAAATGTGATAAGAAGAAATGGGACTCGCTGATGTTCGCGGCACAGGAAGGCCAAATCGAGACGATAAAAATTTTGTTGAAACACAAGGCGAACATCAAACACGTAAACGAAAAGGGCTGGTCAAGTTTAATGATGGCGACTTGGTACGGGCACCTTAACGTCGTGGAGTTTTTATGTCAACAAAAACACGCTGGTAAACTTTACAAAATCAAATCTTTAGACACGGGGTCTGATAAGCAATCGGATGATGATGATCTTATTAATATGTCAAATCACGATGGCTATACAGCTTTGCTTATTGCTTGCAAAAAAGGGTTGGAAGAAATTTTGTACGTTTTGTGTGAGCACAAAGCTAACATGCAAGCGGTAAATAAAGACAACAGGACAGCGTTAATGCTGGCTTGTCAGAACGGACATTTGAAAATTGTGAAGGCGTTGGTCGAGAGAGGGTGTGCTGTGAACGCTAAAGACAAAAAGTCTATGACAGCGCTGATGTTCGCAGCGTATGGTGGGTTTTTGGACATGGTCCAGTTCCTGTGTAATAACGGCGCTGATGTTAATGTCGTCGATCAGGACGGCTGGAACTCTTTGATGCTGGCCACGTCTCGCGGGCATCTGGAGGTCGTCGAGTTTTTATACCGCGACGGCTGCGACGTCCGGTTTCTTCAAGAACGCGGACTGAGCGCGTTGCATATCGCCGTGAAGCTCGGCCACCTCCAGCTCGTGCAGTTTTTCGTCAACAACAGCGAGCCGACCAACACGAGGTCAGGGGTCATCATCCTCCCTGCTGACCTCAACGGCAAGGACAAATACGGCAACACCCCGCTGATGTTGGCGTTAAAGAAAGGTAACCCTGAGATCATTGACGTGCTCCGGTCTGCTGGTGCCTCTGTGGGCAGCCTGACGGACAACCTGCAGTTCCTGTCCCCCAGGGGCGTCCTTAACCTTTCCAGTGACGCAGGGTCAAGTCCTCTGACGGAAACATCTCCCTCCCACGCGGCGTGGAACTACAATGATAACGATACGGATGTTTTCTTCATCAACAAGAACATCCAGAGATTGTTCAAAGGTAAGAAAGAAGAATTTAAAATAAACAATCAATCATTCAGAAATATATTGTTCACAGGTAAGAAACAATGAGTTAAAATATTCCCTCTAACTTTCAGTTATTGATTGTTCAAAGGTAAGTAAGAAGAATTTAAAATACTCCCTCTAAAATTCAGTAATTGATTGTTCTAAGGTAAGGCTTGAGGAATTTAAAATATATAATCTAACAATCAGAGATAGGTTATAGGTAGCTTTATCAAATATAAAGTAAACCATATGAAATGTAGATATTGTTAAAAGGTAGTCTTGATGTATTCAAAATATACCTTCTAGAATTCATTTGAAGGTTTAGTAGAATGGTAGAGCGTTTGTCTTCGAAGTCTCGAGTTCGGTTCCCTTGCTAGAGTTATAGCAACGTCCTGGGTCCACTCAAATATGATGGGTAGCTGCTCTACTTTACTGCTGATCACACTATACCTTCATATGCCGAAGTCACAGAAACAGGTGAACTCTACTTTATTAGCCACATAGACCGTCAGGTTTCGAAGGTTAACTTTACTTTTACACTAGCAGCAGGTTCCCATTTAACAAACCTTCCTCTATATTATTCCTACACTAGCGGGTCAGCACCAAACGTTTCTTCTGATTGTTTGCAGGTACAGAGTTCAACAGCTCGCGGGAAGAATTCTCAGACGTCAACACAGACTTCTCCTTTAGCAACGAAGACAACACCTCCGAGGTGGGGGAGAGGGCGATCCTGCACCCCGGCACCCCCAACATGCGGCTGGTGAAGCGACTCAGTAAGGCCAACAAAGGAAGAGGTCAGTGAACTAGGTCACGTGATGCGGGCGTGGGGGTGGGGGGGATGATTGTTGGGGCGTCATTAACCCAAATAATTTTTTTTTGACATTTTGTTTTGAGATTCCCACACGTATCATGTAACAATTCCTCGCTTGAAATAGAATAGGCGTATTTATTGTTAGAAAACTCGTTAAATGCTTGTATATTGCATGTCTAATATTGCGCCTGTAACATTAAACGTGACACATTTGCATATATTACAATTGTGCTATAACGAGTTAATTCAAAAGGTTTTACTGGTGGAGGATATACAGGCTTAGAGGATATTTTCGGTAACATTCGAATACAAGTTTAGGGCCAGAGCTTAAGATATTCACACGTGGGTGTCTAAAGACGTTTAACTGTTCTTGTATTGATATAGAAAAAAAATCGACCTAGTCTAAACTAAAGTGGCATACTTAATGGGTGGGGGTGACTTGCGGATAGAGTTTCTTTCAGATATTTTTCTCTGGGGAGAGAACTTGAATAATGTTAGATTGGTGAGTGGCTGACGCTGGTTAAAGTATATATTTTTTATAAATATAAGTTATCTATTTTATCTCATTCCTCCGGAAGGGAGGGGGGGGGGGGGGGTGGATGTGCTTCACGATAAGGAGGAATTGCCCCCCCCCCCTCCTTCCCCCGGAGAGATGCCTGAAAGAAACTCTGATTGCGTACCACAGCGGGTGACATCATCCTGTTATATACTTTAAAGAAAACACTTGCTTAATTCCCAGCGTTCAAGACAGTGTAGTAATAGGAGATAACCGGCTTAATAAATCAGCTATGCTGAGTCTTCTCCCTTTACTTGAAAGCTTGTCTGTTTCTTCCTAGTTCAATATCATGATTACCAACGTCTCTAATAAATACCAATAACACGGTTAGCACTTGACAAACACACTACTAACATAATACTCTAACTATTCCCATTTCAAACTTTCTTTACTCCTAACAAACTAACTTCACCTCAGCTAAACTCTCCATGAATAATCTCAAATCTTCTTTTCCCAACTGTCTAGACCTACACTTAAAACTACACTAAAAAATCAATCCATATTTTTTTAACATGTGTCGCTGACCTTAACACTGATTGGCTATCAATTGTCAACCCGCTTGTAGCTGGGTTGTCCAAATCGAAAACTAGATTTGTAGCTGTGTACCCTAGCTATATGTAACCCGTAACAGTATAAAGTGGAGCATACCCGATGACAAAATCCAAAGGGTTGACAAAAAAAGAGCTAAATTTCACGAGAAAACTTGCTTTTCCTGGTTAAAGAACTTGATAAGGTTATATACATCGTGAAGCACAGGTTGACAGCACTGAAGATAGAGAAGGGAGTGGGGGGAGGGGGGTTTGACACCAAGCTTCCTCTTGCTTTTGTACATCGTATTATATATATATATATATATATATATATATATATATATATATATATATATATATATATATATATATTTGTCGAAAGGTTATGACAACTGACAACCACATCCGGTTTCACCCATATTAGTGACGACACTGAATGTTACGATGTTATATTAAAGTCTAACGTAGCGGCTTTAAATGTTCTTATACTGTAATACTTAAGACACCATTGTTTCATACATGTGTAATATATTTTTATGTTATTTGAAGTAATTTCTTAACGGTCTAGCAATTCCAGTTTTTTGTCATATAATACAGTAACGATATAGTATATAATACACAACTTGTCATCATCTTTTTCTTTCTTTTTTTTTAGCCAAGAAAACTGGCAAGTTTATGTCAGTCCTACGTGACTCCAACCGACAGTTTTCCTGGGCACCCATGGGGGAGGTGGGGCAGGCGTGAATATGGTGTAGCAAAATGGTCAATTATACATTCAAAATGTTACTTCACCGATGGACATTAATGTCGCGATGAGGAGATGGTGATACGAATTTTGTTGCACTTGGCTGAACTTTTAATGTATTGATGAATACCTCTGTTATATATCGTTAATATAGGGCTTGCAATTTGTGTTATAAAATTGTTACTAAAGTGGCCATGGGGCGTAGCTGTTAGTGGTAGTTTTGCTATGTAATACTTTTTATAAGTAACAGTGGGGTAAATTTTAAAATATGGTTGGCTTAATGGTTATCTATAGGCATAGGGTCTTTAGAATTTGTGGTGATTTGCATAATAGAGTTGTATTGGCATGGTGTAGTAGGATGCTAAGTTAGGGATTCTACACAGAATATACATCTCCCCTCAATTGGATGCCCATTTTTACAAGCTTTTATTTAACTCACTTCCTCTGTCGTCGTTCGTCAGTCTAGATCGAAACGCAGGAGTGAAAATTCGGAAACTTCTACTTGACTGATACTATTCACATTTGACACGTGGGTCAAGACATGAAGACAATGCAATCTGAAATTAAATTTGACTTAATTGGATGCCCAATTAACTTTTTATGAATTAATTAAAATTTGGACCGAATTAGTAGGCATGTCTTGCCAACCACACCACACGCGACATCACGTTCAATAGCTGCGCCATCACGGTACGTTCAATAGCTGCGCCATCACGTTCAGTAGGCGCGCAATGGTTTTTAGTCATGTAACTCTATTGTAAATAAAACATGTAAAGTACTGAAAAAAAAATTCATAAAAAACTTTTTAATAACAAGCTTTTATGTAATAATGCACTAAAAAGTAGAAAATAAATTATAGACTACTATTTAAATTACTATAAAGAAAAGCGTGGGTGTCTTCCTTAACATTAGTAAAGGTATCCAATAGATACTAAAGTGACCCAAGCTTTTCTTTATAGTAATTTAAATAGTAGTCTATAATTTATTTTCTACTTTTTAGTGCATTATTACATAAAAGCTTGTTATTAAAACGTTTTTTATGAATTTTTTTTAGTACCCATTAGTCTCTGGTTTTACTAAAAATGAAAGTTAAAATTAACATTAGAAAAGTATTTTTAAAAATCTCATTCGTGTTAAAATACCAATGCGAGAGCTCGAAATGTTAGGATTGACGTAAAAGATAGTATAAAAACCGAAAAAAAAATGGTCATTATTTGTAGCTTACCATTTTAGTTAATAATAAACCGGTAGTAATCTCCCCTAAACTTTCTCGAATATTCTTATATAAAACAACAGGGGATGGTAACTGGGGATATAGTTATGATCTTTAATCCATTTTAAATACTGAAACTTTTAAAAATAGAATAGAATCTCAGTAAAAAACAATTGCGCACCAAGCGAACGCCTAATAAAGGTGTGTATAATAGTGCGCAATAGTATTAGTACTTTTAAAATTTACATTAGTTTTTTGAGAAATCGGAAGTAGCGTAAAGTACTACTTCCGGTCAACGGAAATTACTCAAAATTTAACAGAAGGTAGAGAATTAGATCTTTTACTTACATGTGAAATTTCATTTATCTATCTGAAATAGTACTCAAGTTATAGGCTTTTGAAAAATTCAGAGTAGAAAAAGTACCACTTCCGGTTATCCGAAATCGCTCAAAAGTTGATACGGATCTACGATTTTGATATAATACTTGTATATGAAATTTCATCAACCTAGCTGTAACGGTACTCAAGTTATCGTGTTTACACACGGACACACACACACACACGGACACACAGACATACGGACAAGATTGCAAAATTATGTTTTTCCGTATCAGTGAGATGTAAAACGTCGAGATTTGCAAAAATCTCGATTTTTTTTTTTGCACGATTACAAGACTTTCTCTATACTTCGTATATACGAGAAAGTAAAAAACAGAAACAATAGAATGACAATATATTACGAATGCCTATATATTATTGGCATATTTGTATATATATATATATATATATACATATATATATATATATATATATATATATATATATATATATATATATATATATATATATATATATATATATATATATATATATATATATATGTATACTATGGGCAAATATATGGTGGTGGTCATCGAGAAGAATATTTATTTTCGATACATAGCTTACACAAAGCGGTCTGTTTTGGAATTTTATTTACATTTTTATTCACTGGTTGTGGACATTGTGGCTGATTGATTATCCGACCGATAAGGGTGCCATATTTGAAGCCCCTTCGGCACGGTTAAGATCCCAAATCAGCAGCTGATTACTTTGCATTCTATACACATTAAGATGTATTAAGATGTATATATATATATACATATAATATATTTTATATATATATATATATATATATATATATATATATATATATATATATATATACATATATATACATATATATATACATATATATACATATATATATATATATATATATATATATATATATATATATATATATATATATATATATATATATATACATAGCCGTATTATATAATTAACTAAACATGTATTTCTATATTTCATTATATATGTGTTTTTGTTTATGTGAATGTGTGTGGTGTGAGTATGTGTGTGTCCTAGACGTGCATACTATATGTGGTTTGCGATTGTTCCATAATTCGAGCTTGCGTTTAAAGTGTATATTTTTGTAAAATACTATACAGTTATACATTACATACATTTTGTTATATGATATAATGCATTACTTATCTTTGCTTTAATATGATGGTGCGTTACACACCTGTGTTATATTCGATAATGTAATACATATTTTTGTTATATAAGACAATGTATTATATATTTTTGCTAATGTCAAAATCTGTAGTCAATTTTTAATTATCATATAAACAATGGTGATAGTAATTTATATTTACAAAACTTTACACACATTCCTATTTTTGTGAATCATAGAACAATACACAAATTCCTTGTAAATAGCAAAAAAATATCTGTTTAGATATTTAAATTTGTCATAAACTTAGATACACTTGATTAAAACCTGGGTTATTTTATTCTCCAGTGAATTATCTAAAGTACTTGGCAAACATTCACAATATATTTTAGCCATACCATAAAAGCTGTAATATATATCGATATTAATTTTTAATCCACCGTGGGAATATTAATGCAATTAAGTTTAATTATCTAAATGAGCTTTCTTATTATAAATACACTTTTTTGCTTGTTGTTGAACTTTTGCACATATTACTTGTTGAAATACATATTTAAAACAAATGATTTGTTTGTTAACATTATAAAATAAGTGCAACTTCTGTATGTGTGCGCAATATGCCTACGCGTATTTGTCTCTATGTTAGTGATGTGTATAGATCTTGGTATGTATGTCTGTTATTGGGTAGGTGTATGCGTGTGTGTTTTTTGCGTGCATTGATATAAAAATGTGTATGCATGTGTTTATATATGTGTTAGTGTGTGTATGTATATTTGAGATGATAAGGAATGAGATTTTATCTGCGTAGATAGTGTGTTTCACACGCTGATACGTTGTAAATGGTATGATTACATACAGCTGTGACGATTCAAATAATAAAAAAATCTTTTCGTTTTAAATTATAATTCTGGCATGATAGGTTTTTATTTTAAAAGATGAATATATATAGGCTATATATATATATATATATATATATATATATATATATATATATATATATATATATATATATATATATATATATTGAAAAAATTAGTTTAAAATATATTTTTGACCAGTTTTTTAAAGATTTAAGCGTGTATCAGTAGATATCATTGTTTAATAAAAAGGTATACTTTATAAAATTTAATGAGCAGAGGCAGCAGAAAATTAATTGAACCAGTGCTGCATCACCACAACGGGATACGGTTTCATTGAGGTGTGGCTTCAGAAGATGTGGATCATGTGCTATAGAACAGCACCTGCACTAAATGACAAATGTGCTACAAAACGTTATTTTGCACAAAAAATGACACGGCCGAGACACTGTCCGAGGAAAATATGAATAGTGCTTTAAAACGGCTATTTGCACCAAAATGACACAATTACTATTTAACCACTTTGCAGAAAATGACATATGTGCTATAAAACCACTTTGCACCAAATGACACATGTGCTATACAGCCACTTTGCATCAAATGACATGTTCTATAAAACACATTTGCACCGAATGACACATGTGCTACAAAATAGCTCTTGTACCAAATGGCACATGTTCTACAAAACCGAATGATATATGTGGCATAAAACCACTTTGCACCGAATGACACTGCGTACATTCTAGTCCCAAAAAAATCTCACACAGAACAACAACATATAAGATCAAGTCAGCTGTCGACTACAGTAGAGTTTGTCTGATATGTTGGACTTATTGTTGGATGTGAACTCCGATGTTACAGAAAATAAACCTTGAGGGTAAAGAAGAAAGCAATATCATAGTAGTAAAAAAAAATAATTTTAATTTAATTTTAATTTCTTTTTTCAAATCAATTATTTTTTCTTTTATTTAGTATTATATTCAGTCGGGGACATATGGGAGGGGTAAGGGTACATAACTTGTATGATAGACCATCTTACTTTGAAATCGCTGGAGAATATTTTCTACGGGTTTTGACCTACGTGTTCAGTTTGAAAGAAATCGGTTCGCTAGAAGTAGATGAAATTCAACTGACATGCTTCAACTTATGTGGGATGACAGACAAAATCATTAAGTACGAGTAATCAAGTTAAATAAAAGCTTGTAGCAACACAAATAGAGATTGCATCAAATATTGTTATTTTAATCTCTGTATTTAAATGCAGTGCATGGAAATGTGTGTTTATGCCTACGAGAGTTTGTATGTCTCTATGTAAGTGACTGATATACGTTTGTTAATGGATATATGTGTATGCGTGTGTGTATGTGTATATGCATGTGTCGATATAAAGATTTCTATGCGTGTGATTACGAGTTTATTGAAGCACGG